AGTAATCAGTAGTAATCATTAGTAATCAGTAGTAATCAGTAGTAATCAGTAGTAATCAGTAGTAATCATTAGTAATCAGTAGCAATCAGTAGTAATCAATGTTAAACTTTAGTAGATAGATAGATAAATCCAGCAGCAGAAGACTCTTTTCTTGTTGTAGTAGTACAGTTAGTCAGGTTTGTTGTACAGTCTGACAGCCGAAAGAACAAAGGATCTTTTGAAATGTTCCGTTTCGTAGTAATCATTAGTAATCAATAGTAATCATTAGTAATCAATAGTAATCATTAGTAATCAATAGTAATAAGTAGTAATCAGTAGTAATCAGTAGTAATCAATAGTAATCATTAGTAATCATTAGTAATCAGTAGTAATAAGTAGTAATAAGTAGTAATCAGTAGTAATCAATAGTAATCAGTAGTAATCAGTAGTAATCAATAGTAATCAGTAGTAATCATTAGTAATCATTAGTAATCATTAGTAATCAGTAGTAATCATTAGTAATCAATAGTAATCAATAGTAATCAATAGTAATCAATATTAATCATTAGTAATCATTAGTAATCATTAGTAATCATTAGTAATAAGTAGTAATCATTAGTAATCAGTAGTAATCAGTAGTAATCATTAGTAATCAGTAGTAATCATTAGTAATCAGTAGTAATCAGTAGTAATCATTAGTAATCAGTAGTAATCGTAGTAATCAATAGTAATCAGTAGTAATCAATAGTAATCAATAGTAATCATTAGTAATCAGTAGTAATCATTAGTAATCAGTAGTAATCGTAGTAGTAATCAGTAGTAATCAATAGTAATCAGTAGTAATCATTAGTAATCAGTAGTAATCAGTAGTAATCATTAGTAATCATTAGTAATCAGTAGTAATCAATAGTAATCAGTAGTAATCAGTAGTAATCATTAGTAATCAGTAGTAATCAGTAGTAATCAGTAGTAATCAGTAGTAATCAGTAGTAATCAGTAGTAATCATTAGTAATCAGTAGTAATCGTAGTAATCAATAGTAATCAGTAGTAATCAATAGTAATCAATAGTAATCATTAGTAATCAGTAGTAATCAGTAGTAATCAGTAGTAATCATTAGTAATCATTAGTAATTAGTAGTAATCAGTAGTGATCAGTAGTAATCAGTAGTAATCAGTAGTAATCAGTAGTAATCAGTAGTAATCAGTAGTAATCAGTAGTAATCAGTAGTAATCAGGTCATCCATAGATTATCTTTTGCTTCACCACATGATCAGGATGTCCTACTTCCGCGTGGATCATCAAGACTATTGGTCCTCCCAGTTGTCAATCATTCTGCTGAAACGAGCTCGTCCAATAAGAGCAGAGAGTTTTGTTTAAAAAATGGAGAGGGCGGTTCTTTCCTAAAATTTGGGCTTAGGCCTTTGAGCCTGTCTGCTGTCGTTGTGTCCTTTGGCAAGACACTTGGGCAAGACACAGCGCGGAAGTGAAATTCGCTGCATACGTTTGTGTGTAAAGGTGTATTCATCAAACTGATATCACTGTGGGACTTCTTCTTTACCTTTAATCGTTCTAACCTTGAACTGTTAGTACTTCATATTTCTCTGAGACACATGAGTTTCTCTGTCTGTGGTTGACATTATATCTATCGGTCTCAGGCCATGGCCAAGATTGATGTTTGATGTGTTCTTTCTTTTGTGTGTCTCTGGTTTGTATAAAGAACCTGAGTCTGAGCCTTCTTTCTCCCACTCAGGCACCTCTCTGCTGCAAATCTGACTTCTCCATCTCTTCTCAACATTAGAATAGAGAGACACCGACGTGAGGCTGAAGAGCAGGAGACACACGGGGCTTTTCCTTCTTCTCTTTCTCTGAGATTATTTAGTTAATTATCTCCTATTTACACGGAGATAAAATACCAAATCAAGATGCTCAAGTTGCTCAATTCACATTTTCAGTACAAAAATATCTTCATCTTGAATCTCTCCAAGATTCCACCTCCACACTGCGTTTTCAGCTCATCTCTGCCGTGTCCCTGTGCTACCCCGGACCCTCCCTCCCCCTCGCCCCCCCTCCCTCCCCCTCCCTCCCCCTCCCTCCCCTCTCCAGCCCTTTCTTATCCCGGAGTCGAGAGTAGCTAATGAACAGTGCCATTTAGGTGTTGACTTTGGTCGCACCGCACCGTGCCTTTCCCAGCGAACCGCTCGGACTCCCGGCTTCTCCCGCTCCGCGATTGGCCGACGAGGCTATGACTTCACTCGGGGGCCAGCTGTTGATTCGCCGCTGTCTCCAAGGCTGGATTTGCGATGATGGCTTATGGCAGGTAGGCTCGTTCCTCCTCCCCTTTCCCTCTCTCTCCACCCACACACTCCTCTCTCTCCCTTGGCTTTTTTCACACCGCCTCACGTCCATGTCCTCCACTCCTCGCATGTGTTGGCGCTGGAGCAGGAGGCGGCGGACCAGCTCACCCCTCTCCTCCTCGACCATGGAAACTAAGCGCTCCCGTAGCACATGGGATGGCGGGTGGCGCGCTCAGAGTGGTAGGTAGCCCCACATCTAATGCCTCTTTCACAACGACCTGTTTGACTGTGCTTTCTTATGAAGAAGGTGGAGCTTCTATTGTAATCTAATGGGATGTCTTGGCGCGTTAAATTAACCGTAACATCCCGATTGGTGGTCCGCGAGTGCCGTGTCTTAGCAATTTGTGCACAGCCAGATCTGCTCTAATCTCATCTTTTGCTACTTACTCTTGCTTTCCTTTGTAATTAGCCGAGATAAGGGTGTTAAGAGCCTTGTCGGCGGTGTGTGTTCCCCCATGAGCCTGATCGCTCCTGTTTGAAGAGCAGGTGCTGTGTGCAAATGGACTTTTAATGACTTCAGAACTTTCCTCAAACTACAATGAATTAAACCGCTGTAGCCGCACGTTTTCAAACCTTTGCATGTTGTTGGTTTTGCTTTATCTTTCCCACATCATATATTGACATTCCCACAAAACCTCCCAGTGCTGAGGGAGATGGGGAGAATGGATTACCTCGGCTTTCATTTATTAATGCCGCCGTGCTGCGTCTGCTGAGCCCGCCGCGACCCCGAGGCACAGACCGGCGCCGCAATTAGCAGCTCATTTGTGGCCGTTTATGTGCGTTTGCTCTTAATTCAATCGGGCACTTCTTTAAACCAACCAGACGCCTCCAAAATCCCGCCAGTCAAAGCGATATCATTTCATAGGCTTCTCGCTAATCGCCGTCTGCTTCAATTATATAGCTCCCCTGTCAGTGATTTCAACCTCTTTTTGCAATTAGTTGGAAATTGCGAGAAAATGGGAGATTAGTTACTCAGTTAAACAAACCGGGAAAATCAATGTTATTGCACTGACACGAGCGCTGAACCCCATTTAACTTCCCGTTTAATTGTTTGCTTGACGAGTGATTTTATTAGCGCGTGTTTTTGTCGGCGCGGCTCTGAAGCTTGTCTTATTACTGGAGCCGTGTGTTTTTGCCTCTCGCAGATTTATCCCGGAGCGATGGCTTTTGTCATGGAAATAATGTGGGAAGAATAGAGTAACCTTGCTGTGCTTTAGTCACACAATCTACTTTGCATTCCCGTCCACGCCAAGCATCTCCCAGCTGTTTGGCTTCTTTATGTGTCAGTCGTGAGCTGCTCGTCAGCTGCAGCCGAGCCTCAACAATGTTATTTTATGATTACAACCCGGGGACCTCGAGCTGAAAGAGTCGGCACAGGGTTTTGTTCCATCCTGAAAATCATTGCTGAATTTTTCCTTGTGATTGCGCGCAGCCAGAGATGCTTTGGGGGAGGCTTTGAACCTGCGCTGAGGTGTGGGAGGATAAGGTCACACTTGTGGGTTGGAAGTTGCTTCTTTGTGATCAAGGTATTTCTCTTCATCGCTGAACATAATCTCCCTTCAACCTTTTCTGTGTTCCAAAATAAACCTCTGAATGTACGAACAATGCATCGTGCGTCATTTCTTGTAAGCTTTGTCTGGCTGCCACTCACACTTTTAATTGCTCTGGATTTGCATTGTTAAGGGTGGCCACGTATGATGGCGGGTTTGGATGTGTCTGAAAGCTACTGCCGCTCCAAAAGAACCACTGCCGGCATAGCAACCACACGGCAACGCAACCACACGGCAACGCAACCACACGGCAATGCAACCACACGGCAACGCAACCACACGGCAACGCAACCACACGGCAACGCAACCACACGGCAATGCAACCACACGGCAATGCAACCACACGGCAACACAACCACACGGCAACGCAACCACACGGCAATGCACGGAACAACTTCGCCCCGGTCTTCTTTGTTAGAATCCCTGGTTTAGAGACCTACAGTGCATCCAGCAGGGAAAGATGTCGCCAGATTTCGGTCTGTCAAATCACGGACAGATATGAGTTATTTTGAATGTGTAGCTGCACAGTGTGAAGTCTCCAAACCAACGTGACCAGAAGCATTCGCCGAGCGCCGCCGAGAAAACCTGCAGAGCCGAGAAAACCTGCAGAGCCGAGAAAACCTGCAGAGCCGAGAATCAGGAAAAAAATGTTTTATTGTTTAACATTTCATTATTACTGGATCCAGCTGCTGTTTCCACGTTTAAAATGTACCTAACATTAATATGAATGAGTCGCCGTGGGCAACCATCATTACCAACAATACTACGGCTCAGCGCGACCGGCGGCGGAAGACCTCGCTATTATATTAAAACTCGCCGTGAAGACGACGGCGGTGAAAACCGCTCTAAGGTCACATTCAGTTAATTGACGCAGTTCCAGCAGTAGTTTGGCTCGGTTCTCTTTGGAAGTGTTTGGCTCCTTTGGGCGCGAGCCGAGGTGACGTGTGAGACCGAGGTCTGGACTCAGAGAAAGGAGCTGTTGACCTTTTTGGACGGATCTTTGGGCGTGCGCTAACACCAGGTGGAAGCACGTTTGGCAAAGCAGGATGCCAGAGTCAGCAGGATGCCAGAGTCAGCATGGTCCTGCTCACTCAGAGGTGGATTAGAGAGAGAGAGGGAGAGGCAGAGGAGATGGATGGGGAGGGAGGAGAGGGGGGAGAGGGGGGAGGGAGGAGAGGGAGGGGAGGGGAGGGAGGAGAGGGGAGGGAGGGGAGGAGAGGGAGGGGAGGAGAGGGAGGAGAGGGAGGGGAGGGGAGGAGAGGGAGGGGGGAGGAGAGGGAGGGGGAGGGGAGGGGAGGGAGGAGAGGGAGGGGGAGGGGAGGAGAGGGAGGGAGGAGAGGGAGGGGAGGGAGGAGAGGCAGGGGAGGGGAGGGAGGGGAGGGGAGGGAGGGGAGGGAGGGATACGCAAATGAACTGAATAAAAGCTCATCATGGCCGTTAAGGCAAAACGCAGAGACTTTAGAGAAATGATAATACGCAGATTCTGAAAACACGGAGCCTGAGAATCAGACCAATAAATGATTCATGGAGACGACAGAGCTGCGGCGAGGTGGCATTTAGTGACGACCTCTCCCTCACACCCTCTCCCTCACACCCTCTCCTTCACACCCTCTCCCTCACACCCTCTCCTTCACACCCTCTCCTTCACACCCTCTCCCTCACACCCTCTCCCTCACACCCTCTCCCTCACACCCTCTCCCTCACACCCTCCTCCCTCACACCCTCTCCCTCACACCCTCTCCTTCACACCCTCTCCCTCACACCCTCTCCCTCACACCCTCTCCTTCACACCCTCTCCTTCACACCCTCTCCCTCACACCCTCTCCCTCACACCCTCTCCCTCACACCCTCTCCCTCACACCCTCTCCCTCACACCCTCTCCCTCACACCCTCTCCCTCACACCCTCTCCTTCACACCCTCTCCTTCACACCCTCTCCCTCACACCCTCTCCCTCACACCCTCTCCCTCACACCCTCTCCCTCACACCCTCTCCTTCACACCCTCTCCCTCACACCCTCTCCCTCACACCCTCTCCCTCACACCCTCTCCCTCACACCCTCTCCCTCACACCCTCTCCCTCACACCCTCTCCCTCACACCCTCTCCCTCACACCCTCTCCCTCACACCCTCTCCCTCACACCCTCTCCCTCACACCCTCTCCCTCACACCCTCTCCCTCACACCCTCTCCCTCACACCCTCTCCCTCACACCCTCTCCCTCACACCCTCTCCCTCCACTGCAGCACACCTGTGTCTGTTATAAGAGGATTGTGGATTGTCACAAAGACAGTGTTTGTGCAGCTCTGAATCTGTAATAACTGATTTTATTATTTTATTTATTTATTTTTTCACGAGATTGGCCTCCTCTGCTTCATGTATTATGTATGACACACACACACATACACACACCCGCACACACACACACACAGACACACACGCACACACACTGATATAGACAGACACACAGACACTCGCACTGATATAGACACACTGACATAGACACACACACACACACACACATACACACACACAAACACACACACAGACACACACGCACACACACTGATATAGACAGACACACAGACACACACACTGACATAGACACAGACACACACTCATCTCTTTCTTGGTGTTTCAGGACTGCAGGGGTCATGAGGTCGGCCGAGGCTCGTGGCGTCGAGAGGAGCTGAGGGAGACATGGCGTCCATCGCGACCTTTCCAGACTCCTCCCCCTTTGCCTCGATCACCGCGGGCAACCACACACGTATGTCTAACACACACGTTAAACACACCCATGTTAAACACACACACATATCAAACACATGCTGCAATACCACCCCGGGCCTGTGGGGGTGGACCCAGAATAAGAATTAGCCAATGCTAACATATAGCATTAGCTGACCTCTGGAAAACGTCTTTACAGGATGGACCAAAAGTTGTCTCTTGGCCCAAAGCTCCGTTCCACATGTGTGTCAATGCTGAGTGTTCTGGACCAGTCTAGTTTAGTTGCTGTGGACTTTAGAAGTCTCTCGTTTACATGAGCGGGACTCGTGCAGCTGACGCATGCACAGATGCGTTTTTTCACAATTTTCCTGTGGGCGGGACCACTCGCGGCCATTTTGGATTGCTCCAGTAGAGCACATTTTTTGGCCCTGACTCTGTCCATTAATATATACAGTCTATGGTTTGATATGTAGCCTGTCCCTGTGCTACACACAGCAGCCATGTTTGATATGCATTATTAAAGCATCAGCTTCATCTCAGCATAGTATAGGCCATGAGGAGTCATGAGGAGTCATGAGGAGTCATGAGGAGTCATGAGGAGTCATGAAGAGTCATGAAGAGTCATGAAGAGTCATGAAGAGTCATGAAGAGTCATGAAGAGTCATGAAGAGTCATGAAGAGTCATGAAGAGTCATGAAGAGTCATGAAGAGTCATGAAGAGTCATGAAGAGTCATGAAGAGTCATGAAGAGTCATGAGGAGTCATGAGGAGTCATGAGGAGTCATGAGGAGTCATGAGGAGTCATGAGGAGTCATGAAGAGTCATGAAGAGTCATGAAGAGTCATGAAGAGTCATGAAGAGTTGAGGAGAGGGAGTCATGAAGAGTCATGAGAGTCATGAAGCTGAGAGTCATGAGAGTCATGAGAGACATGAGTCATGTAGGAGTCATGAGGAGTCATGAGGAGTCATGAGGAGTCATGAGGAGTCATGAGGAGTCATGAGGAGTCATGAGTCATGAGGAACAATGAGGAGTCATGAAGAGTCATGAGGAGTCATGATGAGGAGTCATGATGAGGAGTCATGATGAGGAGTCATGATGAGTCATGATGAGGAGTCATGATGAGGAGTCATGAGGAGTCATGATGAGTCATGAGTCATGAGGAGTCATGAGGAGTCATGAGTCATGAGGAACAATGAGGAGTCATGAAGAGTCATGAGGAGTCATGATGAGGAGTCATGATGAGGAGTCATGATGAGGAGTCATGATGAGTCATGATGAGTCATGATGAGGAGTCATGATGAGTCATGATGAGGAGTCATGATGAGGAGCCATGAGGAGTCATGATGAGGAGTCATCATGAGTCATGATGAGGAGCCATGATGAGTCATGAGCAGTCATGAGCAGTCATGAGGAGTCATGATGAGGAGTCATGAGGAGCCATGAGGAGTCATGATGAGGAGTCATGAGGAGTCATGAGCAGTCATGAGCAGTCATGAGGAGTCATGATGAGGAGTCATGAGGAGCCATGAGGAGCCATGAGGAGCCATGAGGAGCCATGAGGAGCCATGAGGAGCCATGAGGAGTCATGAGGAGTCATGAGGAGTGACAGTCATGAGTAGTCATGAGGAGTCATGATGAGGAGTCATAAGGAGCCATGAGGAGTCATGATGAGGAGTCATGAGGAGCCATGAGGAGTCATGAGGAGCCATGAGGAGTCATGATGAGGAGTCATGAGGAGTCATGAGGAGCCATGAGGAGTCATGATGAGGTGTCATGAGGAGTCATGATGAGGAGTCATAAGGAGTCATGATGAGGAGTCATGATGAGGAGTCATGAGGAGTCATAAGGAGTCATGAGGAGTCATGAGGAGCTGCAGTTCCGCAGCAGATGCTCCGATGAGACTCTGTTATGAGTGAGATGTAAAATTGCTGCTGAGTTGGTTTTTCTCATAAACGCTGATTTCCCGAGTGTCGTTTCCCAGACGCTGGTTTTAAAGCTACGCCAAAGATCAAATGATGAGCATCAGTGATGCAGCAGAACAACAGGGGCTCGCGGCCCGCTCTGCGCCCGCTCTGCGCCTGCTCTGCGCTGGGTAATTATGCTGTGTCCATCAGACGAGCGTGGACAGAGTCAGGCCCACGCTCTGGAGGAAAGTGGAAGACACAGACTCAGCGTTTACTGCAGAAGTCAAAAGTATGTGTCCAAAATGAGAACACTGCTCTCCGGAGGGTTCACTCATCAAACTGTCAACCCACAGATAAATATTCACACACACGCTCCACTCCAGAGTATTAAGCTGTTTTCTTTCCCAATGTAAAATAATGTAAAGTAGAAGCTTTTGTGGAGCGCTGACAGGTCGTTGAAATTCACCCTCCAGAGCTACATCTCAGCTAACCTCTTAGCCTTGACACGACGCTACATTCGTCTGGCAGAGCGCGCCGACCCCAAAGAAGTCAATTACTCTGACACCGAGCAGCGCCACGGCGCCTCTTAAAGGAGCTGCAGCCTCAGCTCTTTGGGGACACAGATAAAGTCCTCTCCGGCCGACTCCCGCCGAGGGCCTCCGAGGCTGTCACTGCATTACAATATTAAACTGAATATTGATGATGGGAGAGACTTTAAGGCTTTCCAACGCAGCCATGTTAGCATGAAGCACATGGACTTACTCATGTTATCAAAGGAGTCATGGCTACGAGGGATTTTTAATTCAATTCAATATATTTTTGTATTGCCCTAAATTACAACAGGAGTTAACCCAACACGGAACAAGAGCTGAACATTAGCTTCCATAAACCGTCAAGAGAAGCTTCGATTGGACAAAGTGAATCAGGGTAAAACGCTCTCATGTGCATTTAAAGGATTCAGTTCTTCAAACAGCCAGCAGGTGGCAGTCATTACAATTGTATCAGTCGTATCTGATTCAATTCGGGCGTTCTGCTCTCCCAAAGTTCCATCCGATGGGCGGGGGAGCGACTGAATTTTGCGTTGCATTATGGGTAACACTTGCCTTCGCAACTTCCGGTTCTCTCTGCCCGGCGCATTTTCTCTAAATGGTTGAGTGTTTTCGTCATTTTCTGTATGCAAATACATTCCCGTCTCTAACTAGTGGCATATCGCGCAAATCATCCGTCCAATTCACATTCTTCCCTCTTAGCTGAACTTCATTCTCATTGTTACCCTCTGTCACTCGCACACACAGCTGTTTTCGTTCACTCTGCTCGCTGTCATCTTCTTCTAAATCTTCATAAACACCATCCGCTCGTTGAACTAGCAACAACAATTCCTCCTTTCGTTTTCCCACACTGCAAATACCCTTTCGCTTCAACCTTTCACGCAATTCAGGCACTGTCAATCGTTTGTTGTTTTCGTGAGCCATATTCGCCATTGTATGAAATCAACCGGAAGTGAACTGGGCAACAAACGGTGTCATTTTTTGATCACAGCGCCGCTCAGTGGATGGAATTTTGGGAGAGCAGAACGCCCGAATTCAAACAATACAAATCAGACGTTTCAAACTTCCATTTCGACCACAGTCAGTGACTTTACTGCAAACGACCTCAATGACCTCAAGTGCAATATGAGTTTTTTTCTGTTTATATGAGAGATATTGAGCTAAACAGTTACAGACATGTACCAACACCAGCACGCCACTCTGAAGACACCACGAAAATACAGTATCTGTTGTCTGTAGTCACTGTGGGGCCCCAGTATCTGTTGTCTGTAGTCACTGTGGGGCCCCAGTATCTGTTGTCTGTAGTCACTGTGGGGCCCCAGTATCTGTTGTCTGTAGTCACTGTGGGACCCCAGTATCTGTTGTCTGTAGTCACTGTGGGGCCCCAGTATCTGTTGTCTGTAGTCACAGTGGGGCCCCAGTATCTGTTGTCTGTAGTCACTGTGGGGCCCCAGTATCTGTTGTCTGTAGTCACTGTGGGACCCCAGTATCCGTTGTCTGTAGTCACTGTGGGGCCCCAGTATCTGTTGTCTGTAGTCACTGTGGGGCCCCAGTATCTGTTGTCTGTAGTCACTGTGGGGCCCCAGTATCTGTTGTCTGTGGTCACTGTGGGGCCCCAGTATCTGTTGTTACTGTTGCCCCTGGAGAAGAGACCTGGGATTGTCTCTGTGAACGTTCAGAGCCCTGTGCTAATTAACCTGTTAATGATGGAGGTGCCAGAGTCTGCACCTCCTCCTCCTGTGGCCTCTGCAGAATGAGGAGGAACTACACCATCACACACAGGAAGGTTATGGCTTTACAATCATACCCCCCCCAACCCCCCCCCCCCCCCCCCCCCCCCACCACCACCGCATCGATCACAGCTGACTCTGCCTGACACACACAGCCTCAGAACGTCACAGTCTCACAAATATGAACTGACGGACGATGCTACACTTGTATTTTCCAATAATAATAAGTTTCAGACAGCGCACTCAAAGTCTCTTCACGTCATTATTCTCTCACTCCAAACACGGCGGTGATAAACTACTGTGGCCACAGCTGCCCTGGGGCGCTCTGACAGAAGCCCCTCCCACCACCACAACCATTCACACACACACCAGACTCATTCTAATGTGGGGGAAGTGTCTTGCCTAAGGACACAACCACAGTTTGGCACTTTACAGCCGCGGCCGCCCCACTGTGGCACCTGCTGTTCCCAGAGGTCTCCCATCCCGGTACTAACCAGGCCCTGCCCTGCTTAGCTTCAGGTCTGTCAGGCACCTGTTAATAATCATTACAGAATACAGTCTTTTCCTTTTAATATGAAAACTAATGCATTTTGTTGTTTATATTTGATAAAAAACACAGATTATCATGACATACAAACCAATAGCAACGCCATGGAGACGAGAAGGGGGCGGGGCCTTTACCAGAAAACTTACGTACCTCACCTTTAAAGCTCTAACATGCTGTGATCAAAGCACTGGCTCCAAATCCCTCCATGTTTGAATGCGGCACATTTGGACCAGGCTTAAATCTGAAGCCGTTCCTTTCTCTCTCTCTGCGGCTGATTTACTAAACCTCCAGAAAGAGTTCAGATCCACGCGGCAGGCCCCTGTTATTCCAATGAGACCATCTCGTCCAATCACGTGCATTGTCTGTGGCGGCGCCTTCTCCTGTGGCGGCCATTTTGTATGTTTGGGAGATTCAGAAACTCTCAATGGTCTCTATGCAACAATGTCTCGCCTCTGCTGCACTGTGATTGGTCCAATAATGAAACATGGTGGATGGATGGATGGCGAGGGCGCATTCACGGCCGCTTCCTGTCACTTTTTAATAATTGAATCACTGATTATGAGTCGACTTGTCTTAATCTTGAACCTTGTACTTTTTGATTGGACTTTTGGGATTCAAGAGCATTTGACAAAAACACATTACATTTCTGTATCGCCTTAAATCACAACATCAACTCCAGAGACGACGTTGCATATTCTCCCTGTGTCTGCTTTGGTTTCCTCCAGGTGCTCCGGTTTAAAAACATAGATCTATAACATATATAGATTCTGAAATCTCCTGTTAAAAAGATCAATAAGTGACTTTAAGGTTGATTTCAGTGACTGTGCAGCTCTTTGTGCCAGGGCCAAGCTGCGATAAATGCAAAGACTGTAATATGTCCAAATAAACAGTTTTTGTCTGTAAATGTTTGCATTCCAGTTCAGTCTCTCTTAAATGTTTCTCTGTGTTAAAGGACCTCTCTCTCCGCAGGTTCTCGCTCGCCCTCTCCTCCCTCTCAGAGTCTGCCATGAGAACGTCCAATTCACTCGACTGTGAAGCCATGAAGGTTTCTGAAGACCGAGTGTCGTCCCCCAAAGACAACAGCGCCACCACCAGGCCAGACCCGGCCACTGACGGCCAGAGCACGAGCCCCGAGGAGCCCAACAACAAGAAGGAGACGCAGGTACCACTTTATTCTACTGTCAGAGACTAACACGGGTCAGGGACCGGTCTGAGCTCAAGTCCTGGGTCTGGATTCAAGTCCTAGACCAGGTTCCATCTTAGACCAGGGTTCCATCTTAGACCAGGGTTCCATCTTAGACCAGGGTTCCATCTTAGACCAGGGTTCCATCTTAGACCAGGTTCCATCTTAGACCAGGGTTCCATCTTAGACCAGGTTCCATCTTAGACCAGGGTTCCATCTTAGACCAGGTTCCATCTTAGACCAGGGTTCCATCTTAGACCAGGTTCCATCTTAGACCAGGTTCCATCTTAGACCAGGTTCCATCTTAGACCAGAGTTCCATCTTAGACCAGGGTTCCATCTTAGACCAGGTTCCATCTTAAACCAGAGTTCCATCTTAGACCAGGGTTCCATCTTAGACCAGGTTCCATCTTAAACCAGGTTCCATCTTAGACCAGGTTCCATCTTAGACCAGGGTTCCATCTTAAACCAGGGTTCCATCTTAGACCAGGGTTCCATCTTAGACCAGGTTCCATCTTAGACCAGGGTTCCATCTTAGACCAGGTTCCATCTTAGACCAGGGTTCCATCTTAGACCAGGTTCCATCTTAGACCAGGGTTCCATCTTAGACCAGGTTCCATCTTAGACCAGGGTTCCATCTTAGACCAGGTTCCATCTTAGACCAGGGTTCCATCTTAGACCAGGTTCCATCTTAGACCAGGTTCCATCTTAGACCAGGTTCCATCTTAGACCAGAGTTCCATCTTAGACCAGGGTTCCATCTTAGACCAGGTTCCATCTTAAACCAGAGTTCCATCTTAGACCAGGGTTCCATCTTAGACCAGGTTCCATCTTAAACCAGGTTCCATCTTAGACCAGGTTCCATCTTAGACCAGGGTTCCATCTTAAACCAGGGTTCCATCTTAGACCAGGGTTCCATCTTAGACCAGGTTCCATCTTAGACCAGGGTTCCATCTTAGACCAGGTTCCATCTTAGACCAGGTTCCATCTTAGACCAGGTTCCATCTTAGACCAGGTTCCATCTTAGACCAGGGTTCCATCTTAGACCAGGTTCCATCTTAGACCAGGGTTCCATCTTAGACCAGGTTCCATCTTAGACCAGGGTTCCATCTTAGACCAGGTTCCATCTTAGACCAGGTTCCATCTTAGACCAGGTTCCATCTTAGACCAGGGTTCCATCTTAAACCAGGGTTCCATCTTAGACCAGGGTTCCATCTTAGACCAGGTTCCATCTTAGACCAGGGTTCCATCTTAGACCAGGTTCCATCTTAGACCAGGTTCCATCTTAGACCAAGTTCCATCTTAGACCAGGTTCCATCTTAGACCAGGTTCCATCTTAGACCAGGTTCCATCTTAGACCAGGGTTCCATCTTAGACCAGGTTCCATCTTAGACCAGGGTTCCATCTTAGACCAGGTTCCATCTTAGACCAGGGTTCCATCTTAGACCAGGTTCCATCTTAGACTATAAAAGATGACAGAATTAAAGACAATAAAATGCTCAAATTTGGCTAAATGTGAGAAAATAAAGCAATAGTTCTTGAATCAAGTCAAAATTGCTTGTCTCATTGGCAAATCTCATTTTAAGACAGTCAGAATGAACTTAAGTCAAGTTAAAAAAAACTCGATTCTAGTAATTATGATCTCATATTTGATGATGCAGTGCAGGGTTCCATCTTAGACCAGGGTTCCATCTGAGGCCAGGGTTCCTGTCTCGGGCTCGAGTCCAGTCTTGGGCTCCAGTCCGGTCTCGGGCTCCAGTCCGGTCTCGGGCTCCAGTACTGTCTCTGGGTCTAGTCCGGTCTCGGCTCGTGTTGAAAAGTACGACCCAGAAACGACTTTTAACAGACGTGGGTTTGAGGCGAATGTCAAACTCTCAAAAATCATAATTTGCGTGGATTCCATTTTGGCTGCATTTGACACATGCACGAGCTCCAGTCTGTCAAACCACAAGAAGTGCTAGCTCAGCCGCCGCTAATTAGCAAAGTTGGAGGTGTCACGGACGGACAATGAGGTGAGGAGAAGCGGCTTCCCCCCATCAGCCCCGTCAGCTGCCCTGGGGGATCTGCTGTCACCTGCGGCGCTGGGCCATGATTTCCCACAACGCCACGGCCTTTCCCACCGCTACACGGACTTAAATCTGCAAATAATAACCGCAGAAGTCTGGAGTTTAGCTCAGGATTGTGTTCACGCAGCATTCGTTAGGAACTGATCAGTAGGTTTTATAGAGAAGCGGCTCAGTGTGAGTTGTTAAATATTCAATGTTAAATATGACTTCTGCGGTTTGTGCTCCTGTTGTCTGTAATGAGCCACACTTTTCCTATTCCCAGACTTTGTCATGCTGTTGTGGAAGTCAAACTCCTAAAAGTTATGACATACTTTTGCCATTTTTAATACAATTCTTTACCTGCCTCTTTAGCATCCTGGGTGAACAGAAACACACAGCTTTAGATAGTAATAAGTTAGACATAAGTTAGACCTTACATTGACTGCCATTGACGCATGAGTCTGAGACCCTCTGTTCGACTGCGGATTACAGGACAACAATAAGAGATAGAAACACATTTACTTTTGCTGATGAAAGTAGACAGTCTTTCTGTATCTAGTTTCATATTACACATAGTCTTAGCAAATAATATTCTGTGGGTCTTGAGAATCAGTGAAATCATCAAAAATGGCAGCAGTCAATGAGTTAACAGTGGATACTTCTATCACATACGAACCCACAGCTTCAGGAAAACCTCATTCATTCAATCTTCATTTCCATTTGAGCTAATTCCACCGGGACACAACACATTTGCACTTGTTCATTCTGCAATCAAAATCAAACAAGTGCAGACAATGTTTACAGAGCGCAGTGGGAGAAGGAGAGAAAAGCCAAAGAAGGTGTTTTAAACGTCGTGGAGAAACGAAGGATTGGCCTGGATCCTATTTTTAGGCTGAGGCCAACGAGACGGTCTGGCCCCGTGTCCGAGTCCGGGATTATCGGGAGCTCAAATGCAGGCTTATCCACTCCCTGTGTCACCGTCTCCCGGAGGAGACACCCCGAGCCGGCCAGAGGGTGGTCTGTCAGGGAGAGGAGCAGGGCGTATGGGGCGGTCCACATGTAGGGTTAGGGGGCGGTCCACATGTAGGGTTAGGGGGCGGTCCACATGTAGGGTTAGGGGGCGTATGGGGCGGTCCACATGTAGGGTTAGGGGGCGGTCCACATGTAGGGTTAGGGGGCGGTCCACATGTAGGGTTAGGGGGCGTATGGGGCGGTCCACATGTAGAGTTAGGGGGCGTATGGGGCAGTCCACATGTAGGGTTAGGGGGCGTATGGGGCGGTCCACATGTAGAGTTAGGGGGCGTATGGGGCGGTCCAAATGTAGGGTTAGGGGGCGGTCCACATGTAGGGTTAGGGGGCGTATGGGGTGGTCCACATGTAGAGTTAGGGGGCGTATGGGGCAGTCCACATGTAGGGTTAGGTGGCGTATGGGGCGGTCCACATGTAGGGTTAGGGGGCGTATGGGGCAGTCCACATGTAGGGTTAGGGGGCGTATGGGGCGGTCCACATGTAGGGTTAGGGGGCGTATGGGGCAGTCCACATGTAGGGTTAGGGGGCGTATGGGGCAGTCCACATGTAGGGTTAGGGGGCGTATGGGGCAGTCCACATGTAGGGTTAGGGGGCGTATGGGGTGGTCCAAATGTAGGGTTAGGGGGCGGCCCACATGTAGGGTTAGGGGGCGTATGGGGCGGTCCACATGTAGGGTTAGGTGGCGTATGGGGCGGTCCAAATGTAGGGTTAGGGGGCGGTCCAAATGTAGGGTTAGGGGGCGTATGGGGTGGTCCACATGTAGGGTTAGGGGGCGTATGGGGCGGTCCACATGTAGGGTTAGGGGGCGTATGGGGCGGTCCACATGTAGGGTTAGGGGGCGTATGGGGCGGTCCACATGTAGGGTTAGGGGGAGTATGGGGCGGTCCACATGTAGAGTTAGGGGGCGGTCCACATGTAGGGTTAGGGGGCGGTCCACATGTAGGGTTAGGGGGCGTATGGGGCGGTCCACATGTAGGGTTAGGGGGCGTATGGGGCGGTCCACATGTAGGGTTAGGGGGCGTATGGGGCAGTCCACATGTAGGGTTAGGGGGCGTATGGGGTGGTCCACATGTAGGGTTAGGGGGCGGTCCACATGTAGGGTTATGGGGCGTATGGGGCAGTCCACATGTAGGGTTAGGGGGCGTATGGGGTGGTCCACATGTAGGGTTAGGGGGCGGTCCACATGTAGGGTTATGGGGCGTATGGGGCAGTCCACATGTAGGGTTAGGGGGCGGTCCACATGTAGGGTTATGGGGCGTATGGGGCGGTCCAAATGTAGGGTTAGGGGGCGTATGGGGCGGTCCACATGTAGGGTTAGGGGGCGTATGGGGCGGTCCACATGTAGAGTTAGGTGGCGTATGGGGCAGTCCACATGTAGGGTTAGGGGGCGTATGGGGCGGTCCACATGTAGGGTTAGGGGGCGTATGGGGTGGTCCACATGTAGAGTTAGGGGGCGTATGGGGCGGTCCACATGTAGGGTTAGGGGGCGTATGGGGCGGTCCACATGTAGAGTTAGGGGGCGTATGGGGCGGTCCACATGTAGGGTTAGGGGGCGTATGGGGCGGTCCACATGTAGGGTTAGGGGGCGTATGGGGCGGTCCACATGTAGGGTTAGGGGGCGGTCCACATGTAGGGTTAGGGGGCGTATGGGGCGGTCCACATGTAGGGTTAGGGGGCGGTCCACATGTAGGGTTAGGGGGCGTATGGGGCGGTCCACATGTAGAGTTAGGGGGCGTATGGGGCAGTCCACATGTAGGGTTAGGGGGCGTATGGGGCGGTCCACATGTAGAGTTAGGGGGCGTATGGGGCGGTCCAAATGTAGGGTTAGGGGGCGGTCCACATGTAGGGTTAGGGGGCGTATGGGGTGGTCCACATGTAGAGTTAGGGGGCGTATGGGGCAGTCCACA